TGTATATTGTAATATTGCAAACAAAATGAAAAGAAATAGGAGAGAAATAGTTGAAATCAAGTGTTTTAAATAGTTTTACACCATTGTTCTGTTCGTGGTTTTTTCACTCAATGACCAAAGAAAAATGATTTAACTAAAAACTAGAGTACAAGTGTTCCTGGATGTATATATATGTGACTAAATAAACTAGTATATGCAGTAGTAACCAACTCAGTTTACAGCCCTTCTACAGTTTCTCCTGATCTCAAGCTCGAATAAAGGAGGAGGGTTAGACATGAGGTTGTAATATCCATTTTGAATGTTTCGTGTGTTAAAATCCCTCTATGCATACATTTGAAACTTGTTCTTAATGGTTTCATTAGTTTTACATTCTCGTTAGTCTTTTTAATGCCATTTGAGATTGTAATGTTTCATTTCATAACAGATTTAGCATTTTCTCTTTCGCTTTCACTGAGTTTCTATGTTTCTTCTCGAACTGTATCTATGTTGTTTTAGTTGATTTATTCTTGGCGGCAGCCATATTGATTGTTCCCTCTTTGATTGTGTTGCTTGATTTGACTGGGATCGTGCATTTCACTTGTGAATTAAAGCCCATTCTTTGTGTTATAAAGCAACAAGTTATTATCTTTTGAACGGATTTTTACTTGATCTGTCCGGAAAGAATAGAACAACACTTAATTTTTCGTGCGTTTGGTAATTTTCTTATATTTCTTATCAATTTGTCTATTTATTGTAATTTAGATTGATTATTGAGGGAACAATTATTGGTTGAATAACTGAGTGGTAATATTTGTGTAGGCAAATTTGTACATTTGTATTTATGATAAAATTCAGAACCGTTGTTACCCCAATCACCTTGTTCTGATTTCAATTTGGGCGCACAAGTGTCTTCTCTTACTAGACAGTTATTATTCTGCTAAACCTAGTTTGGATCTTATACAGATCAGCAACGATGTTGCGCGGAAAGGGATTTTACTCAACTCTTGCGGAAAATGATCTCAATCATCCAAATTTATGTGCATTCAACATAAAGGTTATAGGCGGTACAGTATTCCCGTACAAACGCATACACGAATATACATGGGTATCATCACGTCACACTACGGAGAATCCAATCAATTATATCTTTGTAACTACAAATTTGAGGTCAATGGAAGATGTGGGAACAAAGAGGAGATCTGCAATATATCCAACTCACCACTTGCCTGTCGCCATGTTAATACTTAGGCTAAAGAGATAATGAAGAAAGAACGTCACATAAATTTATTGCAGCCACCTACTGAGACACAAAAAAACTCTGTGAATTCAAAAAACTTCACGACATTAAGTTCCAGGCTTAACAAGTTCGACGGAAAGAAGAGGAAACTCTAATGGCAAACAACTGGAAGGCGATAAAAAATCCTAACTTTAACATGTCAGATAGTGCTGGAACAAAAGTAGCACCATCATAAAATATGCACTTCTGTCACAGCCTTGGTCAGGATTTAGAGAAGCAACAGTACGAGACAATATACAAGCTGAATCATCGAAGTCAGATATAGGAACAACTGCCCAAATGCTTCATGCTCTATTCAAGTAAGTAGTAACAGCCGAATAAGAACAGAGAGAAGGATACCTCACCAAGATAAAAAAGAAGGAAGATCTGATCAAGTGTAAGAACTACTGAGGCATCACTACTATCGATACCAGGAAATGTTTTCACCAGTGTTATTGAACAAGATGAATTACTCAGTGGTTGCGAAACTTTGAGATCAACAGACCGGATTACTTAAGGATCGGTCGTACACAGACCAAAACACGACGCTACGGATTATCGTTGAACAATCAAATAAGTAGATTTAGTCAACATACATCAACACCTTGATTACGAGAGAGTGCTTGACAGTGTGGATAGGAGAACATTATGAAACTTTATCCTTCATTATAGTGTACCGGAAAAGATTGCCATTGTCATACAGAATTCATACGACGGACTACACTGCAAAGTGGTTCATGAAGGACAGCTGGCAGATGCATTCCAAGTGGGTACCAGTATCAGACAAGGCTGCCTATTTTCCTTCTTTGTGGTTCTGTGATAAGTATAAATATTTGGATTATTGTACAAACTAGGAACCCCAGAAATAACTCAGGTCACTAAAACCACAGACACGCGAAGCAAGAATGAACGACTAGTGCTGAAAAGCAATCCAGCGATTAAGCGTAAGAGTCGAATAAATAAGATTATAATGTACATGTATATACACATAGGAAAATCAATGAGTAATCGAATCAATTAAGTGACTAGCATTAAAGCTAACAGAATGAATGTGTGCGTAGGTGATAGGCAATGCTCAGGAATGCATATTCATACAAGAGCAGCAATAACAAAGGTACAATATTACAGATAAGTTGTTATTGTACGAATGACTATATCCGTGAAATAAGTTAACAAGAGGGCTTAGCCGAATTAAATGGGGACAAACTCAAATGTACGTGATTTGCTGAAACAGCATTCACACCGTTGGAGAACATACGGAAATCAAAACAACTGTCAACCAATATCAAATTCACAATCTTCAATATGAATATCGAGACAGTTCTACTGTACTAAGCTGAAACTGGAAGAATTACTACAACTACCATCAAAATGTGCTAGTATTTATGAACAATTGTCTGCTCAAGGTACTCAGGGTCCATGGACCGGATACCATCGGCAACAGCTTATTGTGGGAGAGAGCAAACTAGCTCCCATATGAGGAGGAAATTCGGGAAAGATGCTGTAAATGGATAGGACATACATTAAGGAAATCACCAGACTGCATCATTAGGTGAGCAATAACTGTGAAATCCTCAAGGCAAAATAAAAATGCGCATACCAAATAACACGTCGCATTCGGAATTGCATGCAAACATCTAAAGAATTAAGAGTAACTGAAAACATTTAGAAAGAAAAGCACAAGAGACGGTTGGTTGAAGAATTCTTGTTGGTGGCATATAATACATGAGATGTAAGAAGCGTAATTAATTGATCAAGCGAGTAAGTAAGTACTCTAGTAATCAACAATTAATGAATAGCAGGATTGGTTAGACATAAATGGACCGAAAAAATATTGGTTTTGGAGTAACATTAGAATTGGACCCCTAGGAATAGATTCATATTCACACTGACAATCATAATCATCTGCAACTTTTTAAGAATAAAAAAAGAGCAGACATTAGAATATCCAGCAATTATATTGTAGAGAAATAAGTACAGGATCCAGTAAGACGATAAATCTGCACTGAAATGAAGTCAGTTTTAGACTCTACAGATTGTCGATTGGTCAGCGCGTCTTAATAATAATAATAAAATTAATAATAATAATAATAATGAGTGTGTAAAGATGAATATAATAATGGAAACTGATTAACAGACAAATAAAAAGATAGATGGATAGGCAGTCAAGTGAAGGAGTATCGTAATGGTTTACTTGTAAGGCATTCGAATTAATAAGACGGCTGAGCATAATTCAACTAAGGTATTATAACTAATGCACGTATTACTTTCCTGCTCAGTCAAATATCGTATTCCAAATTCGGTTCGCAGTTATGTATATTTAGTCTATCTGTATTAAATTCCATAACCATATCAATTTTAAAACGTCAAATTGGTCTGAAGTCACTCGGCATTCTCTGGTAACTTACTTCTACTATGGAGTTTCACAATTTCTACTAATCTTTGAAACACTTGTGACCTTCTATTTTATGCACTACAACTGTGATATCATATTCGAAGTCAATAATCTATCCTCTCAAGAAATTTGATAGTACTGGCGATTTGACTAACGAATGAGTTATTCATTCCACCACATTCAGGTGCTTGCATTCCTTTTTTACATTAAATTATGTACATCAATGCTTTATGTATCTGCATACAAATTAGGATTCCACATCACTAATTTAGTGTTTACACCATGTAGAGTTGTCGTTTCGGTTTATTCGGCTGCAATTGTTTTATTTAAGTGTCAGTTTAATAAACTGAAAGGGGTCACAATCGGATTCCAAATGATTAACATGTGTGAAGAAACGGATTACTGAGTACTATTTGTTCACACATTATTTTATAGGATTTCATTCAGTTACAAAGTCAAAGTTTTAAAAAAATAGTCGATAATGCGTTCAATAGAAAACTTAGTATCGTTTTGGCTCAGTCATTCAACAGTAGAAAATTACAAATATATTTGTTTATGATGCTGTTTGTTGACAGACTTGATTCAATGCAACTGTATAAAAGTAGTACATTTTTCAGGAATCAAAATTAATAGTCATAAGGTGAAAGTAGTTGTCAATATAGTTGTTGATATAGTTAACATAGTTGTCAAATGCTATTTGATCTTTACTCTTTTTTTAACTTGAAATTAATTGTAATATATATTCTTACCCTAAAAAGGAAATTATATTTTTCAGATTCTGATCGACTAATAGTAAAGTGTAAAAATACCATATAACCATGTTTACTAAACAGCGTTTGCAAATCATTTTCGGAATTGTAGTCTGTCATATTCTCTAAAGCGTTCATCAACTGCTTGATTTCATGACAATAATGAGCTTTGAAGAACATCTCTTTCATTAGTTATAGAAGAACATTTATTTTTCATAATTAGATATTCAATACTTCTTTTGAGTATTATAAGCAGTAGATTACTGATCTCCTTCAAGTTCCATAATGAGCACACAACGAACAAAGAATGATCATGTTTCAATCTGTATTTGAATACCATGGTCATTTATTATCAATTGATCAAATAATATAAATTCTTGCATAGAATCAATCTAGCTTTGTTATCAATATCATCTTATTCTGTTTCATATTTCTTCATAACGTTCCAATACTCGAACACTTATGTTAACTTAAAAACTACTACATTTCACATTTGTCCTTTCATAAACAAATAAGTGTTGACTTTGTGCAAACCAATAAAAATCGAGTTGTCAATATAGATGACCTTAATTTGTTTTAAATTATATAAAGAAAAGATTGTGAACAATTTGATTTTTATAAAATAGAAAAGATAAGCTAGGATATATTATTTGAAACGTATTATATTTATTTTGCATTTGTTCATACTGTATAGTTAACATTGATACGTATATGTTAGTACCGAAATTGATTGACATTGATGAATCACAAATAAATCATCATAGTAAATTAAAAAAATATAAAAGTGAAAATATTTTCACATTGTTTCAATCACCACACGAAAGAATATTCTCGACGGATTATGATTATTCTCCAAGAAGAAATATGAAAAAGTTTGTTCCAAAATATTTACAACAACAACAACAACAACGTGCTTATAGCTCTAAAAATCGAAATCGACGTCGAACAAGGCGTAAACATTTAAGGAATACTGACTATGACATAAATATAGATAATTATAATGATGATGAAAATGAATATAACTATGACGATGAAATTGAAGATGTTGACGATGTTGATCAAAGCAGTGAAAATCTAAGTAAACATAATTATTTCAATAATGAACAGAATTATATTAAGAAGAGATCTATCATGCCTTCAAATTATTATGCAGATATAAAAAATATTTTAACTTATCAAAATACATCGGATAGTTGTATATTTTATTTAACATTGAATTCCAATAAATTAATTGGACCATTTATATTTCATCCACATTTGAGTAAGTTTATATAGTATCATTAATTTAAAAGAAATTACTTTGAGCGTTTATTTCAATTTCAATTTCATCACGGTTTTAACTATAAGCTTAAGTATAAAATGGATTGACGAACAGATAACAATAAACTATTCAAACCTTTAAAAAAGAAGCTCATTGTTATGAAACATGTATATGATGATCACAGTGTTTAAAATTCTAAGTCATTGAATCAAATTGTACCGTATATAAAGTTTGGATTGAATAGCTCGCAATATAACCTGATAACGTATCAATTTTACTGAATCCCATTTGTTATCTCTTCAAAAGCACTCAAATCAAAAGATCACAGCCTCTAATTACCATTTCAAGGAATTTATTTCTTTTAAGCACATTCTACTAATCAGTATATCATCATCCAGGCAAATTATTCTAGTTACTTTCTCATTTTGAAATCGGTTTAGGTATTATCTAAGTAAGAATAATTGATTAATTAATTTGTGTTTGGTGATTTATTACCAAGTTTGATATGACAGACCCTAGACTGTTCCATTCAATAGAAAATCATATATCACACAATAACTTTGTGTAATCCAATCTAGATCCATCACTTCAAGCTTAACTGTAGTTATTTGAAAAATTGTTCGCTTTAAACGCCATCACGTTATCCACTATCCATACTTGCTTATAAAGCTTGTGACTTAAGGTAATATCGAGACAATCCGCACAGGATGCACATATTCCAACAAGAGACTGATCAATTACAGTCCTAGATAACAAGTATAGCTACAAGTATACAGCACCAAGTGGATTTGTTAATTATTTTTATCACAAAGTAACATCATCTGATAAAAGAAAAATGGGTAATTATTTCATCATGATTTTAAACTCTAAATCAGTATGCAGCCATGGTTTCATATGTAATTGAACATAAGACTTTCAGACATGGGAATGAATATTGATATACATGAGCCACGAAAACAATAATGAATAGTTCTTTACAAATCATAAATAAAATAAATCATAAATAAATAATAAAAAAAACAAAAGGGACACAAATGGGATCACCAATATCAGGACTCATCGCAGAAGCAGTAATGCAAAGACTAGAAACCACAATTCTACCAGTGATCAAACCAAAAATTTGGATTCGTTATGTAGACGACACATTCGTCATCGTCAAAAAGGAGGAACTAGAAAACACCTACGAGCAGATCAACAACGTCTTCAACGACATCAAGTTCACAATGGAACCAGAGTCGGACAACAAGTTACCATTCTTAGATGTATTAATCACCAGAACTGACACAGGAAAACTAGAGACTCAAGTGCACAGGAAGCCGACCCACACCGATCAAATTCTCAACTACAATAGCAACAACCCAAGAACTCACAAAATCAACTGTGTAGAAACTTTGTTCAAGAGGGCGAGAAAACACTGCAATACAATCACAGCACGAAAAAATGAAGAAAAACACCTGAAAACCATTCTTCAAAAGAACGGCTATCCAATCAATTTCATCAAAAAATACCAGTCGCACACACCATCAGAAATGAAGTCAAATATAAAAATCAACAAAAGGATCACCCTACCATACATAAAGGGCATATCGGAAACGACAACAAGGCTGCTGAAAACCTTCGGAATAGGCGTAGCCCACAAACCAACAAAGTCCCTCCACTCAATCTTATGCAAACCAAAAGATGAAATGGCAAAAGAGGACAAAACAAACATCATCTACAAGATAAATTGTACCAACTGCAACAAACACTATATTGGACAAGGCGGACGCCCCCTGCATCTTCGCCTACATGAACACCAATTAGCAGTCAAACGCCACGACATTTCTTCACTCATATCAATACACGTGGACAACTACGGACATACATTCGACTGGGAAAATGTGCAGATTTTGGACAGAGGCAATTCCAAAAATACCAGAGAATTTTTAGAAGCCTGGCACTCAGGTCAATCAGCAATAAACAAACATATTGAAATCAATCCAATCTATCAACCAATCAAGAAAATTATGCAGGAACATAGGAACAAAAAGCAAAACAATAGGAGAGACAATCAAAACAAAGAAATAAACAATGACAGATTTAAGGCCAATAAGAACCAATCAACATCGAGGTGCAGAGGACAAGCTGTGAATCACATGTGGAGAAATTCAAACACTTCACTTCTACCCGAAGTTTTTGCTGATGATGTCGTTCAGAAGGACGATGAAAGCTCCACGACCAAACCATCCAGCTCAGAGAACAAACCAACATAAAAATCACCCACCTGAGCTACAAATCTTCTCCACCATACCCAGTTTTTAAAAGTAATCGTAATGCTCTATAGAATCAATTTTTTTCGTAAGAACAAACTTTGACAATAATTCTGCTGTATTTTTTGCCAGAGTTTTTCGTTAGACTCTTGAAACTAAACTTTATATTTTCATTACCTAACACCAACAGAAAGGTGTAATTTCTAAGAAAAGATGGATAGTGGCTAGCAGTGGAATTTAGGACGCGCATTTCGTCCTATTTGGGGCTCATCAGCTGAATGTACCTACATCTTTGCTTACAATGCTTGTAAATTAAGGCTATATCGAGGCAATACGCACAGTATGCACATATGCCAATTAGAGACGGACCAGTCGCAGTCCTAAACATCAAGGAAAAGATTCAAACAAACACTGCTAAGCGAATTTAGGTGTAATTTCTGTTCAAAAATGACCGTAAACCTGTCAGTGATCATTATTATTTTGATCTTAAAGCTAAAAGAGAATTTATGAACAAAACGTCTTTAACAAAATTACTTTTACAGTTTCATGTTTTAGACAAACTTTCAATGTTTTTGTACATTCATAAAATTTTATGATTTTCTTTTAATTTTCTTTATTATTTCTAAATAGATCAGGAACAAGACAAATACACAGATATATTTATGCAAAGCGGAAAAATAAACGCCTTTAATCCTAAAGGTAAGTACTGGGATATATATATATATATATAATATTGAAATGTACTCTTGTTTAAACTACACGAGTCCTTCCTTTCTACACAAACATATCAGCTTTAAATAATATGTAATGATTAATTAATCAGAATAATGATAGTCTGACAAATGCTTCATCTGTGGTAAGATAATTACTTGAATTTCATAGCCTTTTATATTTGAATAGTCACAATTTTTTTTACAGACGTTATTATTTGTCATAAATATAAATGAATCTGATAAGGGTATTTATATATTAATTTATATACAATTTTTCCTAAATGTCACGAATCACATAATACGGGTTTTATTTAACTTATCGAGACGAAACGAAACGATTAACGGAAGATCGTTTACACCAAAAAAAATGACATCAGCTTAAGAATGACCAAAAATCTAGGGAACCTTGAGAACTTGATTTGTTCTAATGTGGAACCTTCAGTTATGTTTACACTTGAGATTATATTGTATAACATATAATTCTGAATAATTTAGAGGAGAAAGTTTAAATCAATGCAATATTAGATACAACAGTTTGTATAAGTATTAAAACATATTATGTCACAGATTATTCGAATCGATTAACTATATTTTATTATTATCATTATCATTAATGGCTTTATTCAGTATTATACTTTTTGTAGCAATATAGAATTGTCATCGCTAAGTATTTTAACAAGTCTTTTTCACCTAATATATAGAACACTAAAGGTAATAAAACCGATAACTGCATACATATCAACATAAATTAATTAGATAAACTACCTGGAATCAAACGAAGTATTTTTTTTAAGGATTTAACTCCGTACAATTTTTTTAAGTTAGGAACACGTTTAAGAATACGAGGTGCTGACTAGGTCAACTATAACGACCTGTTCGTAACACCGTATATTTGCTAGATAAGGTCATGTAGAACTTTCATATATCTGCTTGAGTGCATGGATTTAAATAAATTGACGTCTAGTTCTACCAAAATATATACAAGGAGAAAGATATGAATAAAATGGATGGTTCTTATCTAATAAAAAACACCTGTCAGGAGTGTGTAAGACTTTAGATGTCTATACACAACCATATTAATAATAACCTTAAAAGATTTCCGACACACCATGCTAACTGACCTTAGTACTCTCTGTAATTCAGCAAAGTCTTCTCTCAAAATCTCAAGAGAGAATAGTGGAGGACAGTGAAAAATAATGGGTAATAGTGTGGGAGTTAACAACATGTAAGAGTAAGCGTCGAGTAGTCCCGAAAGCATGTAACCTCTTTATATAGTAAATCAGATGGAAAACGTTCTTCGATAACAATGAAACATGAGATCAAGAAGAAAAAGAGGAGAACGTTACATCAAGTTAATTGACCTTCGACACTAAATTTATCAAAGAATATCCGTTAGTACAAGCTTCATGGGATTCCAACATAGTGTTTAGATGCCGTTCGTGTCTCAAGCTACAGCTAACATTTAGACAGGTTAACTGTGAAACAATTAGCAACAGATGACTATTCAATGCAAGACAAGAACTCATTCATTCCAAGGGGATGTAAGGGGAAAAATTGGTATACATACAGAGAGATTGTCCATTTATTTAACAAAAGCGTTTTCTGTGGAATATGGAAGATCATGCAGAAAAAAAGAAGAGAAGAGGGGAAAGGACAGCCCTTTGTGGCACACCCTCATGAGCGAGTAAAGACGTCACATAATTTCCTATGAGCACAGTATACTCATCTCTTCCAGAGAGGTAGGAACATAGCCAGTTGGTTATTCAGCTGTCGGTGTTGACTCTGATTAACTTGTTAAGTAAAAATTGTCTTGGAATAAGATCAGAGGCAGAAGTATAATCTAATAAAATGCATCGAACATACTTCTTACTATTTGCTAAACCAAACATTATACTATTATACAGAACAATAGCAGTATCTTACGTCCTTCCTCTTCATTTGTAAGCAAAGTAATACAGATAACTGTGCTCTTTTATGGCTGGTTGAAGTGAGAGCAGCAATAGTTTTTTCGTTGTTTTGAGAAGAAGTAAAGTTTTTCGTTATGAATTTAAATTTAAATTTCTTATTGCCAGATAATTTCTTAGTCATAAGGATTATCTCTATCTTTCTCCATATTTGTGACATGAGATTAGTTGGAAATGATTCGCCAAAGATGCTCATCAATGGATGACACAGAACGTCATTTGGGCCTGCATCTGATCCTCCTAGTTCATCGATGATGCTGTCAAGATACATGAGAGTTTCCACATCTTCTAGAGTTTTTTCCACTACGTGTGATTAGATTGGCTGATGCTCTCCATGTTATATTTGAGTATCTTGCCTTCTCCCTTGTGTATGTTGAAGCCTACTGATGCATAGGAAATTGCTACACTGGTTGTCTTGAATTGCATTTGATGGTGTGTATGAGATAGAAGGATAAGGTCCTCTGAGAAGTCCAAATCGTCTAGTTGCATGCAAGCTGTCCATTTTATTCCGTGCTTCCTCTCAAATGTGGAGGTCTTTATAATCCAGTTAACTACCAAAAAAGGAGAAACGAGGAGAGGAGGCAGCCTTGTCTGACTCTGGTCCCTGCTTGAAATGCGTTTGTCAGCTGTACTCCTTGTATCACTTTGCACTGATGATCTTCTCCGGTACACCCTGGTGTTGAAGAAGATTCCATAGTGTTATTCTATCAACACTGTCAAAGGCTTTCTCATAGTCAAAGAAGTTGATGTATAGTGACGAGTTCCATTCAATTGATTGCTCAACAATTATCCGTAGTGTTACGATTTGGTCTATGCACAACCGATTCTGTAGGTGCTGCTTCGATGTTCCGTGGATTCAGTGGAGCTGGCCTATTCAAGAGCTCCTCGAAGTAAACTACTTATCTGTTTCTCTGTTCTTGAATCTCAGTGATTGGCTTGCCTTCTTTGTCTTTGACCGGTCTCTCTGGCTTATTATATTCCCCTGACAGCTTCTTTGTTGTGTCATTTATTTGTCTGATATTTCTTTCTCTTGCAGCTTTATCTTCTGTCAGATAAAAAAACATTCAGGGTTAATAAGATAATATGCGTAAAGGTAAGAATGTTACTCAAGAAGTGTGAATAAATTGATCTGTTCGGAAGCTGAAATAAGCTATATGGACTTGACATAGGAACAGACACTACACAGCTACTCTTCAAACTTGTGGATAAAGGAAGCATGACATCGGATGACTGATATACAAAAGACTTATTTAAGTCACATTCAGACGGTTATCGCTTCTGCTATGTCTCTCAATTGTAAGCCTTTTAAATAGTTTCCACTTGAAACAGCTTTTACAAGATAGGAGCTTCTGAGTAAACATTTAGCTCAGACGTCCGCTTTCTAGGTTTATTAGACCATTTAACTTTCGAACTTCAATCGAGTTTTTCTCCTTTTACATTACTTCTTTTACCCCCCGTAATCATTATAGTTTTGAAGATGTAGTTCGATTAAAATGGTCTCAGTGATACAACAAATATCAAAACAGAATTAAAGATAATAAATAATAACATCAACGGTGTTTTTCAACGAGTAATCTGTAAATCATCCGTTGTTATTCGTAGAGAACATGTTTTTTAGATTTTGGATATTTTCTTTTGTGTAATTCCTGTATTTGACTTTCTTTAACTTACGTAATGGTGAACTCTTTCCAAGGCAGTCAATTGTGAATTATTCAAGTCTCAGAGAAAACCATAACAAAAAAATTGTTTTTTTCTGATAATAGAAATAATATTATATGTATATAATTTTTATTAATAACAATCTATCCGATGTTCAATTTGTCCGAAGTTATAATGGCACTTACCCTTTTTTCTAATACTAATTAAATACTCAATGTCATCCATGATCACATTTTGGAAAACTTGACACATGGTCAGGATTAACACACTGTTAGGAAGCACCTCTCACTTATTAATAACCTATTAACTAAAATTTTCGGAAATATCGTGGTGTTCTCCTATTTTTGGATCCATTTTGTTCCTTATAAAGTACATCCTAAAAATATTTGAATGTAACCCCGACGGACTTTGTTTCAAATTTAGTAGTGTAAGAAACTATAATGGATTTCACTGGTTGTCAGAAATACGGTCATTAAACAATGATAGAGACAATGAGAAACATCCTTTTGGCAAACATTTCAGATTTTGAAACTTTCCTTTCGTGTTTATTATCATGAAAAACCACACTTTTAATAATTTTGATAATATTCGCTATACTTACTTATTATACACTGACCTAAGCACGATGATTAATTTTGATAGAACTGATTTGATTTCTATCATCTAAGTGAATTCACACTTGATTCTCTTTTTTTTCGTTTTTCACTATAAAATCATCTATCTATTTAGATCTTTTAAACATGAGAAACCATGGTGTAATTCCGGTGAGTAAAGTACAAATTACTGATCAAATTCTTGATGCTGCTTATGATTTAGGTAAGTGGAAATTAATTAGCAATAATAAAAAAAGTACTCAAGGTATGCATAGTTGCTTTATAATAATGTAATTATTATGTTGTAATAAACAGACTACATATTCATTTTGGCATTTTTAAAAATAGTCAGCCACTAGTAGTTTAAAATGCCCAATAGAATATCTGAAATAAATTAATAATTACAAAGTAATATGATCCATATCATATATATTACAAATTGTATGTTTCCTTATAAATTCACTGATAAGAGACAATATATAATGTGAATGTAATTTTTATCCTCTCATCTCTTACGTTTTCTATACAATTATGTTATATGAACACTCTTCACTACACATCACATATCTCTTAAACATACATAGTTTCGACTTTTTCTTAACGTTGATTGGATGACCTATTCAGTGTATAATGAACTCGGAGAACCATATACCTATTTGTATTCGATAATTTTGATGTTTGATTATAATTCCTTGAAAAAGCTTGGACCAGATTGCCAGGCGAAACGTTGGATTTAATTTAAAAAATTCATTGGTTGAGATTTTACAAATATATTATTCCTATTTAATGTCTTACTTCAACTCGGCGCTCAAATACTGTGAAACTATTCGTTCTAATTTAAACGAGAGTTCTTATAAATTATTTAAGGATTTAAATAGTTGAATAGCCTTTTAAGTGTATATATATTATAATACTCACCAACAAATTATATTCCAGCATGGTATTGGGAACATTGTTGAATTTCATTGAAATCGTAGATTGATCTAAGTTAGGTAATCATTGAAATTTTTAAAGCACTGGACGGCCGTTTCGTCATAGTATGAGACTCTTCAGAAATATGCATCCATGACCGTACAGTCAGGAATCGAAATCAGGACCTTCGGTCTTAATCGCGAAAGTTTAAATTTTTGATCACTAAAACGGGATCTAGTGCTATACATACCTAACTTTAATTGGTACGCGACGTTGTGTTATCATCGTAAATTATCCCCGATGAGTATCTTCCTCAAATCCAAAAGAAGTGAGCCCTACTGGTTAAACGGGTCTAGAGGTTATAAGTCGGCGTAAGGGACTAAAAATCTCTATTTCGACTCCTGGTTGCACGGTTATGGATACGCCCTGCTGAGAAATCTCGTACTACAACGAAACGGCCGTCCAGTGCTTTAATTTTTCAATGGTTGTCTAACTTAGATCCATTGGTGATTCCAATGAAATTCACCAATCTTCCGGACAGTATACTGATTATCATATTTCGGTTTGAAGGAATCATAAGAGTTACAGGATAGTTCAGATTTCTCTTAAGCCCTGCAGTTTAAATGGTTTTTTGCAACAAAATTTAATATAAAACAAATATGTGTACAATAAAATAAATCGTTTGTTGAAATTTTTTACACCACTTGCAAACGGCATAAATTTACAAGTGATTATACGAATGAAAATTTGTTATAGGAAAGCAATATCTCAATAATTACATTTCAAATATAAATGATAGCATTTGAGTAGTATTTAAAGACAGTTTTCACTCCACACTGATATCAGTTGATAGATCAAAACTACAAAATCAAAATATCATGTTTTACGTAGGTAAATATCTAGCCATATTATCTTAACGTTTCTACGCTGAATGTTAACTTCCACTTTAGATTAGTAAGTAAGTAAGCTCTATTAATAGTCAATAACGTGAGTCCTACAAAATAATCACATATATAGGAGAAATTGTAAATTATGTTAATGTCTTGACCTTGGGTTCACTGAGCAACTGGTTAGTAATGACTTGATATCGTGGATGTCTGACTACAATTAAGTGATTTGTATTTGCATTATGACTACGTATCCAATATTTTTTTATACTTCATGAAACTGTATAGGTTAAAATGTCACACTTAAAGCATATAATTGTCGGTAAGAGCAAAACAATTATTTCTGAATCCTGTAAGCGTTAAAAATTGTTAGGCTTATACAATTTAAAATTAACTGAGATGAGTTAGTATGCACAGTTATAATTTAGCTATTTTATAATCTAATTGTTTCCCTTAGCTCTATAAGAGGATATTTTTACATGATAATAAATGTTACGATGACTTGATAAAGAAAAACTAGTGTGTCCCTGATAAAAGGTTTCCTAATATAAATTAAACCTGAAAAGTATTCTTATATTATTTGCAAGTCTACCAGAAGTCTTAAGTGGTTAGACATAACTTTTAGGAATCTATGGGCTTAGTTTTTAGGATTTGGTTAATGATCATAAACAGAGTTTATCTGTTGTCTTGAGGGAATAGATACTTTTATTAAGATTAAAAATAGAGTTACTGATTGTCACAGTCAATAAGGTTGTAACAGAAAAAAATCGAATGAACAACGTTGGATGGCAGCTCAGTGGCTTAGAGGTTAAGCCTTCGCATTTGAGTCCCGTGTGAGGGATCGTGGATGTTGAAGAGTCTATAACTAGGACGAACCGGCCATCCAGTGCTTCCGGGTTTTTAATAGTGGTCTATCATAGATCGATTCGTGAATCCAACTGTGTTAAAAGAACTATTGCATTTTTGGGTTGTTTTACTTTATAAGAAAGGATAAATCCTTTTATATAGCCCACAGTGTAATTAAACGTATGAAAATATTTCCAATACCAAGAACATGGTGATTTTTATGATTGATGGCTTACTAAGAAAGAAATCATGAAAGATAACTCAGTGTGTATTAAACTGTTATTTATCATTCACTTAGTTCTAAAATATAATTAAATTAAAAATTGTCTCAGCTTAAATTTATTAATTAAACAAAACTTTACTTTCATCTATCTTCAGTTTAAAAGTAATAATACATCTTTACAGATGGGATCACAGATAGAAGTACTTAATACACTTGAAGGATCTTTACTCTAATAACTATATTTCAACTAATATCAATACACAAAGTTTACATTTAACCTAATTGTTATGCTTTTAGCTATAAAATTATAGCGAAATACGATTGTCAATTTAAAGTCACCAACTTATTGACCGTACCAATGACACATATACACATATATATATTGAGAATAACTTGAGAATAGTAAATTATATAACAGTAATCAATAGGTCAAATAAAAGCCTATAATGAAAGAATTATGAATATGCATATAATATAGTTACTTAATAGTCTTACAATAAGGATATTCATATAACATTGGTCCATAAATAATTATTAGCGGTTACCATTCATTTATTCTAGTCCAGACATAACACTAACGATAGTTGAAACCTTTATGATTTGAGAAAAATTTCTCAATACATTTTAGTGAAATTTCTTTCATTTCTGTTCTACTAATTTTAACCTTTCAGAACGCTTCATACTTGACGAAACTAGAAGAATTCATAATTCTACAAATTCTCCTTATGTTGATCATAATTTAACACAAATATTCAATGATTTAGTTGGAAATACACAGTTTACTATTACAGTAGGTTATGTAATGGTATTGATTTTTTGTTGTTGATACATTGATGTTTTATGAACTGATGGATATTAAGAAGCTAACAAAGTATCCTAGTAATTTATTGATACCTACTGAGCTTTGATTGACCCTAACTGTTAACTATAGTACTTAAATAAGGCTAAGGTTATTGATAAATGAATATCTGTTGTGTTTTTTTTTTACTTTTTTGCTCTGTGCTTATCTTTCGATTAAGCAATTTGTAAATATGTTCAAAATTAATCCGAAAAGAAAAGTAACATTATCTCTTCGATCCAAATTGTACAATAAAAGTAAAGAAAATAAGTGTAATCAATTTTTCAATTGAGTAAGCTCAGTTACGTTTAGTCAATTACAATTGTAATATAATATGAGTTATCTAAATATAACTAAATTGGATAGTTGGTTGACGAGGTTTGTGAAGATTAGTTGAGTTTGAAGATAATTTTTGTCAAATAGTCAAATCACTTGAAAAACTAGTGAAAATCTGTGGGTAACAGACAGTTATTTTGCCGAAGATCAAACCTACGAAAGTTAAATTTCATATTTATCCCGTTGTCTTTAGATAGATGAGTTGGGTTTCAATGGTCTACTTTTCCTACTTTAGTTAATTTATGATATACCGTGTTAGTTTTCTAATTGCACAAACAAGTAAATCCCCTACTTTTAACATTGTTAAACTCCGCTGTTAGTATTATCTTACCATAGCACCGAGAATCTATCTCAAAGCTAGTCATTGATAAGTGCATAATTCTTTGTTCGGTTGGTTTGCACAGACTATTCCAGTACAATTATAGTTTTCCTTACAGGTTGACGTCAGATGAAGTATCCAAGCACGGTTGCGGGGATAAACTAATTAATAATTTCAACTTAAAACAATATATCTGTCAAGTGCTCTGTAGTTTCCAGTCTCTGACGCTGATATCAGTACATTGAGGAAACCGTTTTCTAATTAAAGAGTTATATATATATAACTGTTTTTAGAAAATTATCATTCATAATTGAAATATAACAATTTTCAAGTAAATAAACATTAGGATTAGTTAGTTAGATATTTTCTTCTAAAATGAAAGTGCCTATTGTTCTTTAAGTCAGTGAAGGAATAGTTCAGGTATAATTTTACTAGAAAAAATAAAGAGCGAACAGATTACTTTTAATCTACATTTAGGATTAATTCTGAATCAGATAGAGTAAGCCATTTGTGAAATTTAGGGATCATACCATGTCATTCTTACTGTAGAAAAGCAAAAATCTTTCTTTCTATCAATCCTAGATCACTACATTTCAAAATGAAGATATTTTTCTCACGTTTGTTCAAAAGATGGATGCTTACTGCCAGTGTGTTTCGAACTTCGCGTAAAAAGAATGAGAGTTGCTAATTTAATCCTGGTTGGCTCGGTAGTATGAAATAACTAGACCGTAATTTCGCACCAATGCACTCATTCTGCTTCATATGGTAACATACCTCAGAATTATTCTTAATGGAGCAGGATCATTACCTCTTTATCTTCCCATACATCCTAAGTTTCTGAACTATTTCAAAATGTTCTAAACTCCAAGAATCTATATTTTCTTCTTAAATCATATCTTTCATGCCTAATATTTCATACGAACACTGATGCTTTTAAAGCTTATACCAATCTGGAATCTCTCTGTGCTGATATAGTGTGACAACTTCAGTCGATCCACATTTACTGGGTTCTATAATGTGAGTGACTGGGTGACTGAAGTGAAACGAGAAACTTATATTTTACTACATTGTTTCAACAACTTTTTTAATATTTCTGCCATATTTCACATAAAAAACACTTCATTTATTGCATTTATAGGCTACACCAGTGGTACAAAACGAATTATTTGTAAAAACTTCAAACAAAAGTTATAAAAAGCAAATAACCAATCTTTACCGTGTAAGTCCATATTAAAATTAATGATTTATTCTTATATTTGAATTCTCACGTTCAGGTTTTATGTGAAAGAAATAAAAGTTAACAGTAGTTAGTGCCGTTTGTACCTAATAGAGAAAATGGTAGTGAAGATTCGTAGTTTTCAGTGTTACGTTTCAGGATGTTCAGACTGGAAGTGTATTGTATGTAAAACTGCACCATATGATATTGTTTTTCCTGTGTACAATCCCATCTGAGGTCACTTCAATAAACTTGATTTCTCTGGGGCGTGTTTTACTGTAAAGCTAGATATCCTTTTCAATACCGCATAGATTTTGAAACTAAAAGTATTTTCAAATATTGTACAAGAGATCCATTAAAACTTCTGGATTCGCTAATGTTATCATTATTCAAAGTAACAAATAATCCTCATAATCTACATTTATGCACATCAGTATAAATATACTCCCAATTGACTTATATGCATGATTGTATCTACATTGAAATTGATTGAATAACAAAGAAAATTGGATTGTGATGCGAGATTCATTTATACATTTGACTAAACAGCGTTTTGACATTTTAGCTGATATCAGTTCATGATAAAAAAGAATCTTAAATTTAATTGTTAACCAATTGTTATCAATTGTAAATTATAATTATAATTCCTTAGACTGGTTTATAAGCTTCATTTTGTCCTAGTAAGTAGATGGACATTTTCAAGGTCACTTTACCATCACTCAAAGGTCATTCATAATTTATCTTCTCATCTCTTAATACCACAAATAATTTTGTTTGAAGAATTGTGTGTGTAAAAAATGTGTACATAAAATTACTCTTATCTAGATTTTAGATGAATTACGTGAACAAATAAGTGAACTAAAAGAAGAGAATAAAAATTTACGCACACAATTAGATGAATACAAAAATTGGGCTGATAGAAGTATGTTGGTTTGTTTGTGAAGACTTTTAGTAATTTTTTTATGCATCGTTGGAATCATGAGTCAATTGAAGGTAGACCACCATGGAAAAACTGGAAGCACTGGACTTTCGTTTCGTCCTATTGTGGGACTCCTCGGTAGTGCGCATCTACGATCCCGCCTCGCGAGATCCAAACCCGGGACATACCAGTATCGCGCGCGAGCATTTAACCGATAGACCACTGAGCCGGCATCCAACGGTGTTAATGTCTAACTTCAACCAATCCACGAAATTGAGCAACCATTTCACCAATGTCTTCAGAAAGTTGATATCTTTCAACAGACCTGGTTGAACTACAATGGTTACTGGTTCTCACCAGAACTCTAGGAAATACCTCATGGAGCCAGTCACTAGTGAGCATATGATAAGTGGGTTGTTTATGGAGATTTTTAGTAATTTTTTTATATACTTGAAATCATGCTTCCAGGTTTTCCATGGTGGTCTAGCTTCAATTGACTCATGATTTTAACTATATATGATAAAAGTATGTTCTCTATAATTCTATCTATTTGCATAGAATTTTCTTCTTTTTTTCGTTAAAATAATTCATTTCATGTAAATGTTTGTTGTCATACAATTTTATTATTAACTGGAATCCCTTATGTACTGATGTCATGATTCTTAATTCTAGTTGATTTAAAACTTTCGCTATGAAAACTTTTAGTTCTACAGTCTATAGATAACAAGCAAACCATGAATATCTCTTAGTTCCCCGAACTTGAATCACTTCCGCTAACACTATTTACATATATAGTCATTATCTTTACCAAATTATTGCTATACAACTTTAAGGAATTTGTAACTAAACTTTATAGAATGGACATTATCTACTAGTCAATTTCTAATGATATATATGTATACATAGTCATTTGTTTAAGATTACAATTCTTGTTACAGACCGTGAACAAAGATGCATTGAAGGTTCAGATGAAAAAGTCAATGAATCGACATTTACATGGCATGCAAAGTTAAACGCCCTTTTAGATCAATATAGATCAGAAAATGAAATTCTAAAGTAAGTTAGTTATCGATGTTTTACCATAGTTTAGTTGATAATTTTAATAAATTCATGGAAAAACATCTAAAAAGTTTATTTCATATCATATAACTACGATAATAGACTCTTCGTTCACTGAATCTTATACACATAAATTAATAACCAACCATACAGTGAATTAAAGACTAAGTTTAAAAACTGATCTACATGAACATTGCTATCCAAGAAGCTGAGTTTTAATAAAAAAGATCTATTAGGTAAACGTATTCAATATCTCTTATCTCATATATGTAAATAAATATCTAATAATGAGTTGCTCCGAAACAGCTAGTCAACACTGTTTTTAAAAATGAGGTACTACACAGTATTTGGTTACTTTTGTTATAAATCCTATTCGATTGTTTACCATAGTTCCTAATTATGTTAAATGAAAGTGACAGTATTAGTGGAACCTATTTGAATATCTATGAGTTTACTATCACATTTTATTGAATTATTCGATTCATCCTACTAATTACTATTATTAACAACTGTACATTGACTGGTCAATCTAGTTGAACGTTTATAGATATTCTATAAGTTATGGATGAGATAAGGCTAAGTGTCTGACGTGCTTGACGTGACTATACTAATGATAAACTAGATTTCGACAGAATTAGTACTCGACCTTTCTCATCAATAATTTTTATAAATAATGTTTTTCTTGTGTATTAGAAATATGTAAAATGTCTCTTATGATTAGCGAGGACAATTACCTTGTTGCTAAATCTCTTTGAATATAAGACAAATTTATTTAAACAACTATTCTCAGGAACATAAGATAATTTGATTTGTATCCGTTTAGATTATTCCGTTGTCGACACTGAGTGAATTCGATCAGTCCAAACCATCATAAATCAAAATTCATATCCGATGTACAGGTGAATAGCTATTTGCACTTAGTAAATAATTTGATAATTCACTATTGCTTGAAGCTGACGGTATTGGATTCAAATCCTAGAGTGAATATCTACTCTGAACTGCAGGTATATTCAGATGACGAATCCAAAATAGAACGAAACACGTATCTTAAATTACATTGCTAACCAAATTCCATCTATTTCATATAGGGGAATTGTAATATTTACTAAATCATCTAACAGTTAAATATTCAAACAGAATATTTGAAATTTTAAATATGCTCTTCAGTGTACAAATTATTAGGTTGAAGTTTTGAAGTGTAATTGATTAAAAGTTTATTTTGCCTTTAAATGTACACTACAACCGTAAAGTAGGATTTTCATGGTTATTGCAATGTCCGATAATTTATTTGTTCTATGAAAAGGGTTTTTGTAGATGTTATTGTAATTTGATAGTTGAGTTCATGAGGCAGTTGAAGCTCGACCACCATGGAAAACCTGGAAGCACTGGACGTCCGTTTCGTCCTATTATGGGACTCCTCAGCAGTGCGGGATCGAGGATGCGCATTGTTGAGAAGTCCCATAATAAGACAAAACGGCCGTCTAGTGCTTCCAGGTTTTCCATGGTGGTCTAGCTTCTATTGACTCATGATTTCAATTATATTCACTTGATAAATTTTTATTTTAATTGTTCACAATAATGTTTATCTTTTTTTTTCTCATTCCAAGATCTCATAATTACACGCTTAATCAATCTCAGCAAGCATTGTATCAAGACCAAGAGTTAATGCAACAACAGAATTATAAATTGAAACAACAAGTTGATGAACTTAAAAGGTATCTTTTTAATAAAGTGAATATTATGGAATAAGCTTAAGTTGAAACATCTTATTCTTTGTCTTTTAGTCTAGATAGTCAATGAGTATTTGTGTATTATAAAACCTATAGATTATTGATTCAATCTTTAAAAGTTTCTATTGGATGAATATAGTGAAAGAATGTTAAATGAATCAAAATAATTGTTCATAAGCTTATTTATATTTTAATAGTTTAATTTATGAGTTAATCTAAGCTAAATAACCATAGAAAACTCGGAAGTAATGAATGGCCGTTTCATCCTATTATAACACTTTTCAGCAGTGCACAACCACGATCCACACACAGGACTTGAACCTAGAACCTTCGGTCTCGTACGCGAAAGCTTAACTCTAGACCAGAGTCGGGATCCAATGGTGTTAATGTCTAACTTCAATCGATCCATGCTCTTACGCAACTCTTCGATTCATTATCACGGAATTTTTTTGAATTTATGCGGAATTATCCATCGTTTGTCATATTTGATTTTTACTGATTATTCCCAGTTCCCATGGTGGACATTTTTGTACATGATTTAAACCATTCAGTTTTACCAGAACTCATATGAAGAATATAACTTATTCATACAGTTAGTACACTAAAAAAACATCTGGTAGAAACTATGAGCGATTTTATGATATATTGTTTCTCATGAACCAAAATTGCGGAATATCGGAAGGTAAAATAATCCTAATCAACATTTCTCATAGTGATATCTACATATATATAGGAAGAATTTATTAGAGATAACAACCAAAACGTAAGTATAAATAACAATAGACATCAAACTAGTAGTCTGCAAATATACTACACCGAATATAGTTTATTACAATCAGTTACAAAGCAACCTTATAACTGAATGAATGTAAATGATATCTCATTAAGTGTACACTATTTAAAGTGATTCGTACTGAACCAAACCGATTGATAATTATTTTATCTGCATTGACTGATATTCACTTCCTACTATATTGTAAGTTATATCCGATAAGCTAACGTTTCACGTTTAATAAAGAAGTATTGAAGTTTCAAATTTTATGATCACCATAAACACTATTTGGAAAGAATAAAGTAAAGTGTGTTAGAAACATTCAAAAATACAAATAATCTACTAATCTTATCAAATAAATATTGGCACTATATCATCACATATATACTTCAATGATAAACACTAATTAAAAACTGACAACAAAATCGATGTTACTTTAGTTCATTACAAATACTTGTCATAATATTCAATTATTTCATTCACTATTATGCATTTACTCTGATGAACTATAGATCACAGAATCTTATCTTAGCCAGATCTCAATCGGTATTACGTGAAGAAAGAGAGCGTATGAATAGAGAACAAGAAGAACTTAGTCGAGAATTAGCAAATGTAAAAAAGTAATTTGAAAACTAGTTCAGTTTGGTTATATGTATATTTCTGTATATTATTAATGAGCCGTGTTTCATTCATTTATCTGAACAAATAAATATTTCTACAAGAGGGCACCAAACACATATGGGCCGCACATTAACAATGAAACCAGCAGAAGTTATCATTCATTTGTGTGTGGGTTGTGATGCTGCCCTCGTGCCCGAACCGAAGCAGGTGGTTTTCTTAGAGGGCCACTTCTCGAGCCTCTGACCTAAAAGTTTAATCCACAAGGCAGTGGAGCGACGTTAAAAGATGCAGTCCCATGGTAGTCGGTAACCGACAATAGGTTGGTATGTCATTTTTTCCCTCAGGATCGTGGAGCCCATGTGCACCAATGTTATAAAATCAGGGTATTCCGATTCCCCTAAGTGGATCATTAGTACTTAACAATCAGTTTTAGACCCGGACATCTGTTTTTCGTCCGCTTGATTTTGTAAACAACACTCTCATCGCGAGAAGGTAGTGAGTAGGACTTTCCTGTAAGTGGCTGTATACGTGTGGCCATGTGGGAGCATTACAAAAGGGAGAGCAGATTCTCCCCACCCTCGGCCGTACCAGGACATTTGAGGAACATAAACCATGCGTACTTTTTTGAAATTTTATTTCAAGGATACTAAGGAAGAAGCAAAAATCATATCGTAAAGCCTAACTTAACATATAAGTAGACCACATCAAGTTGTAACATCTCTTCCTTCAGGTTTAAAAAATCAAATGGAATGACTTTACAAGATGGAGTTCGAGAAGCTAGTTACTATTCAACACTTTAAAAAGGTATCAAACTCCACTACCGAATAGGTGCATTATTTTAATCTTCTCTATTCAAAACGTTTAAATAATGGAATTCTAATTGATTTTATAAAACCAAAATGTGTTTTTAAGTGACCTAAGAAATCGATCTCAGTTGTCTTATTATTAAATCTCTTTAAATTTCTCCTGAGGAAATAAAAAATTTAGTTTTCCAAAAGCTATCGAGGCTATGTCTCTTGATTATCCAGTAGGATAATGGAGTTATATCAGGGCGACGAAAGTAACTAAATCCTCTAACGACTTTCTTAAATAGAAGTTTTACACCGATCTTGAGATAGACCACAAACCAGATTTTGAAATCGTCATTCATGTAGTCGATAAAAACTAATCTTTATAAAGAATTTCTTTTTTAGGCAATCTAACTATAAAACTTAAAAAAGACATTCGCTTATCACTTAGAAATTTGTTCATGAAAGTCAAAAAAGTGAGATCATTTATTTCAGGTCTAGTTCTATTCACGGGCATGGGGATCACCACATTGATTACTGATGACTGTGAATTATGCAGATCTGTGCTACCGATAATTTCAAAACAAGCAGAAAACAGATGTACAATTCTTCTTAGTTTTCCGTGATTAGCTGTCTGAATTAAGCTATCTTCAAACTGGAATGAAGTATAAAATTTACGTATTGTAAACAAATATTGGCGCTAAATTATGTGATTAGCTGCATACCTACCTATCCAGTATAGCTGTGTGGATATTAATAAATATGATCTATTTCTTTTTGTGATAAATGTCATTTCACCAGCCAGCTTTAGCCTATGGAAAAGCAGTAAAGAATAAAGCCTAAAAGAATATTTGTACTTACAAATAGCCTTCGTATCTTAAATTAAAAATGGTTAATGATGTTGACTATTTACATTTTGTCAGCATTTTGTTGGTGATTGATGCTATCCACTGCAAAACAGTACTTTTATGTCAGTTATTAGAATGAGCTATGCTGTTTACAAACTTACTAACATACATTCATTCATAATTGTAAACTGAAATAGATTCTCTTTATTGAAATATCCATAACTTTTCTGTTCACCACATACTTTAGAGTTTGGGTTTTACAATATTTATCATGAAGCCTTATTTGGGGAAACATGGTACACCAAATTTTTGCAAAGAATCTTATTTACAAGTATTTATTTTAAACTACTAAACAGTATATTGTCAAATGCATTGTGACTGCTAATGACAGCATAACGCTGCGAATAATAGCCTCATGTGTTTGCCAAAAGGTTTGACTAGGTAGTAAATCCAAAAGCATCGATCAGGTATATCTACCGATTTTACACTTCATGTATCAAAAAAGTATTAAATGAACAGGTTGAACAAACTGCTCAGTATTGTCAACATGTGACATTGGATTTTATTAGTAGTTTTATCTATCAACTCTTTTTCCTTTCTAGAAAACTGGCCCAATCACCAACCCAATGTCCTATTCATAATGGATATCGAAGGTCCAATATACCAGTTCCGAACAATGGTAATTACTCTGTTCATGATTGTTCAAATCATCCTATACTTAATAAACAAGATGGAGGTATGTATATTCGTCAATCAACAAAAAGTCAGTTACCAATACATTATTAATCATGAGAGGTAGCCATCGACTATTTGAACTAATGCAAACTGCCAAAACGTTTACTAGACTTATCTACCATAAAATTTACTGCTAAAATTTGCGGAAAAAACCAAATTAGGACGTTTTATATCAATATATTCTCCCTTATGTTTCAGAAGTTATTTTATAATGAACATTTTCCAGCTACGCTGGATTTCTCTTGAAACTAAACCAATCTTTTGACAGTGCTTAGATGGGTGTTTTATGAAAGGAGGAAGCTGACAAGTTCGATCAACAATCGGGCAAATTAGAAATTTTTTAAACTTTTATTAACAATATAAGACTGAGATAAAATCCTGCCTGAACATTTATTCTTTTTCCAAGCAATATCCATTATACTGTACAGCTCAAAAAGCCGACACAAATAATACCAATTAGATATCGTTTACCCTGAATGGTTTCTTAAGAAATAATTCCTGATTACGATTAAGAAAGGCCGAGAATCTTTGAAAATTGTCAGGTTAAGATTTTCCAATGTAATAGTCAACTTAAGCATATACGATGAGCTCAAACCTCTTACTATAATTTAGAAACATACAATATTGTGTTTTTGGCAGAGGAGTCAAAAGTTAGACATTATACAATTAAAAATCATATTTATACTTTTCTATATAAAGAATTATAAACTATGATCAGTATAACTTATATCCTCGTACTGTACTAAGGCTAGTATCAAACGTGAATAGTTCTCTGTATCATAATATAGTTTTGGAGGAGAGAAGATAAAATTATGCCGAGGTTCAATGATGATTATATATACCGATTCACTGACATTCAGTTCATTAACAGCCAAATTTTGTTGAATAAAATGATATTGCATTTAAATCCCTGTTATTTACGAGCACAGCTGTTGAAAGTTATTATTTGTATGTGAAATAGTGAATTAAGCGACTACTAGCACTAAAACACCTGAAAGAACCTTCTTCATAAGATGAATACATTAAATAATTGTAATTTTATGTTTAAAGGTATAGTATGAGAAGTAAAAGTGAAATGAAATTAGGATGGTCGAATATGTACTAGTTGCTTGTTAAAACGAGTACAGTCAAACGACTTGGTAAATGCAAACATCGAATTTTTGTGCTTATCCATTGCAAGACATTCATATGAAATGTTATATAATTTATCTAAAATTGCTTATCTGAACAATGGAATAAATAAGATTGTAGTTTAGTGATTCTACTAACGGGACAGCATCCGAAATCCCGACGAAATAAACTTCAAAAGACAGTCACTGACCATTCAATTCAGCTTTTGAATAAATAATGAGAAAGTTAGGCTAGTATTAAAGTACAAAATATCCAGTCAAAACATATTACCTGAGTCAGCCCCCAAACGCCCTGGTACGGCCGAGAGTGGGGAGAGTCTGCTCTCCCTCTCGAAATGCTCTCACATGGCCACGAGAATATGTAGCCTCTGCCAGAGAAGTCCTACTCACTGCCTTCTCGTGGCATTACTGTTGTTTACGAAATTGAGAGGACCAAAAGCGAATGTCCGGCGCTTTAACCGGGTTGGTGGACACGGAAAGTCCAACTAGGGGAGTTGGAAAACCCTGGTTCCAAACCAATGGTTCACATGGGCTCCAGTATCCTGAAGGAACAAATGGCGTATGAACCAACTGTTGGTCACCGGTTACCATGGGACTGCATCTCCTATCGTTGCTCCACTGCCTTGTGGATGAGATTTTTAGGTCAAAGGCTCGGGGTGCGGCCCCCTAAGAAAACCACTTGCTTCAGTTTGGGCACCTGGGCACTATCACAGCCCTCACACAAATCAAATGAGATTTGTGCGGCGCATATATATCTGGTGCTTCCTTGTACCAATATTTATGTGTTTAAATAAATAAATAAACTGAGTTACGTGTCATTTGACAAATAAATTGTCAAAAATGAAAATAAAGGCCACAAGGCAATTAATAACTGGTCAATCATACTCGCCATGACACCTAAAATTTTGGATGAAATCCTTAGGACTAAACTCGTTGTCCACTTCAGTTATATTTATAGTTAATTGAGATTTGAATAGAATTAGCAACTTTATTTTTCCTTACTTTGTCTCCTGTTTGTACGAAATATAGAACAATTTTCCACAATACAACCTAGGCGAACATGAAAAATCTTAGCAGACTGAAATTATCCATCCAATACAGTTCATGATTTCCATATGTATCATTACAAACTATCGTTTTTCAGTCATATAAATGACTATGAATTTATCTTTTTTTGTTCTACGCTATTTATTCCAGAACCAAGCAGAATAAAGAGAGTTCGTATCTGTTCTGCTGCGCATTCATCTAGGTTACCAAGATTGAATATTCCTGGCCACACAGTTAACGTACCAATAAGTAAGTAGAAGTTGCTTTAAACAGGCTTTTGAAAGTTATCGGTTATTTCTTTTAGCACTAAGTTCCTATGATCTCATACATGGTTAGATCCACTAATATCATCGTTTCAAACATTTACTTTTAAATATTGTTTTGAAGACAACGATTATTAAAAGTGTATGTCCTGGTTAAAAATTAATCTCATTTCCTTATGTGATGATGAAGTAGATCAAAGGAAAAAATCTTCATCAACAAGTTTTTGATATTTATATCGATGTTATCAAGGCAGTTCCAATGATATGTCTTTGAATACACAGCTCGAGTTTTCTCGTGGTCCAGGCTTCAACAGACCTTCGTAATTGCCCTAGATCATTTGTATACAAAAGGTTACAAAATCTGTTATTAAATCACTGTAATGACCCATTGCCATTAAATTTAGCAAGAGAAGGATGAGTGACCTGCACATGATCTAATTAGACGATTTGAAATTAATTGTTTTTTGAATCACTTAGACACATATTCAACCAACATTATTTGGACATTGTGTCTCTAATACTTTCTATGCGCAATGATGTGTAATGTTAATTCTGCTAGCAGTATGAATGTTTGTTATGACTACAGACTAAATTTCGATTTACGAGACGATACTAATATAATTCGATACAAACAAAAATGAGACCATTCGGAGACTTCTTTTTGTACTAAACACTGATCAGAACGACATCAAAATATACAATGTGATACGTTATCTTAAAAGTCTGATCAATAGGTAAATCGAATGCATTGAATTTATGATACCTAACAGTAATTGATCAATAAATTAATGTTTGCATGCAATTAAAAAAGCTGATAGATTACCTATTTTAGCTAACAAATATAGAAAAAGATACTGAATCACATATCTCTCCCCTTCCTAATACTACTTATATGTCCACATAAACAACTGTGAAATCGATAACAAAAACCGGATGGTTTATGAGTTGAAATGAATGTTCATCATAAACCAATCTCTGATTAATTAGCTTCAATCCAACCTATAAATTAGTTGTGCAAATATGGTCGACTCAGTTCAGTGTATGCACAATCAAATATCGTTTGCATTGAACAGTATGTGTAGTGATGGCTTTCCATACGAGCTAACTATAAATTTAGGGTTTGATCAAACCCTCTTCTTTTTTAACTGTTAAGTATATTATCCTAGTTTTCATATGAAAGATTAGGGGAATTTTGTTGTGTAGTAAGCTATTCGGGTCTTCGTGTTTTGAAGATATGGGCATATATCCAAAATATTATGTCAAGCCCATTAGCAGAGATATTGATTTCCAAGACAAAACTACAAGGATAAAAACAGTAAATGAAAAAATTAGGCCTAACTAGTTAACAAAATCATCTTCTAGACCGTGGATTACGTCCCCATAGAGTGAATTAGCCAAACCACAAGGTCCATTCAACTGAAATAGTCATTGAATAGAATGGCAACTACATAAACATTTGAGAGCCTGATCCATAACTCCACGCTACAACCATTAGCCACAATCTTAAGTTAACTCATATCCTTATCCCGCCATTACTCTTCTGTCTTAATATATTATTAATTTTCGATTCCTTATTGAAACAAGAACAACCAAAGATTGGAATTTTATAAGAACCTTGTATGCATATATAAGCACCTATTTAGTGTTCAGACTATTAGACAGTTTACAGAAAGACGGAAGATATAAGATGAGACATTTTCGAAGTATCCTTTATCTGCAAATTTAGTTTAAAAGAGTTTCACTATGCTTCTTTTCGTTATATACTTCTCCTTATATTTTGTTATGATGCTATCCAAATATGTCTTTAAAGTCTACAGATTTTCAAATTGACTTTCACCACTTAATAGTGCAATCTAACGAATCACTGAGAACCGGAATAGACTAGACATCCAATTGGTTTTAAAGTGCGAATTCCCGGCATCGTAAATCCCCAATCCCATACATAAACTGAGCCAAGAGCTTCGAGTCTGAGATGATAAATGCATTCAGATATACAGAAAGTTTGAATTGAGGATTTTTCTAGTTTTTGTTTTGCGTTATCCTCACGAACTATCTTACCGAATGTTTATATCCATTTAGTCCTACAGCGCCATAAGATTTCAAATTATAGCTTAATAATTAATCCACACTTTATATCAAACATATTTAGCACTGACGATCAATATCTTATATTTGTATATACTATCTACTAACCAAGATGTTTTCAACGTGATTACCATAGAACTTTTCGTACGTGTGTTCTTTTTTTAGAGAGATCTAAGAAGCCAGAGAATCAAACAAATTATATTTCAAGTGGTGCAGCTTACGCAAAACAAGACATGAATAGACAAACAATACACCAGACAAAACCAACAAAATAACTTATGTCTCTATTGTACTTTTCACACAATAATAAAACTCGTCACATAGATGAATTCTCTATTTTTTTAAACCGTCGAAAGTAAATTTACTAATCATTTTAAGTAATATGTTTACCACGAGATAATGTAGTGATTTATGCTTGAAATAGTTATTAAGTAGGGAAATCGATAGTATTTTTAAGACTCAGATTGTGTGCTTACTAAATTGTCTTAAGAAAAAACAGATGCTAAACAAACAAACATTAATAAACCGAACAACGAACTTGGCCCTTGACACAATGAAACAAGTGCACAAAAACTTTATTACAAAAGTAGTTCTAAGGTGAGGTCAGTAATCACTTTATGAATTCACCTTTAGAGTATCATATTGTGATTATTATTTGCCACAATGAGATCAAACAACACGGTAAGAATCCAGACCTCATTGGGTTAACAAATTTTTGCGAAATCTCTCTTAAAAATAAATAGATGTGACATAATCCATCAGATATAATTAGTATGGAGCCGAATTCTCTGAAAACTCAATTATTAATAAACGGTACGTAAATATTTCCCGTCTACATATCTCTATGTTAATTCAAATGAGGCTAAATAATTAGTCTCAAAGCTGTTAAGTTCCATCGAACAGATATAGAATCGGATTCTGATTCCAGTACATTAAAGCAAATGACTGAATTTTGTCTGATAATCCGATGTAAACTTGATGAGTTCACTAGTGTAACGTTACTGTTTTCGAAAAATTCAGCGCGCGAATACCTTTCAATTGAGGAAGCAAGTGCCTAAACTATGTAACGCAAACTATATGTGAAAACGAAATTCCTCCTTTTTACGCATCAGCAAGTTCTACATTCAAAAGTGTCATAAATAAAAACACTTTATACAAAAAAACTTAATGTCAACGTGAAAGTTGCCCTACTGTTAAAAATATAATACTGAAGAAAAACTCGATGAACATGTGATTTTCGTATAGCTTAAATACTCTTAACCTAAAGCATGCTGAGCCCAACCCCGTCTTACATGATTCCATTCACACAGCCATATCAATAATGACCTAAAACACTGAGTCATAAGTTCGAACTTTATTTCTTCTTAAACCATATTCTATGTCTAAGTTTTTACGGGCGTAAATACTATTCCTTCGACTTCTTTGTAATACTACTTTTTTTAACGTTCTTTGCACTGTACTAATATACTATGGCTGGTGCTACGTTATTTTTAACTGATTGGGAAAAAAGAAAACTGATAGGATAGTCTGGTACTTACATTAGAAAGGCTGAGTGAAAGTCTAATATATGACGATAATGTATAGAATCTGTGGCTTGAAACAAATTCAGTTAATATCTCACATTGATTGGCCTGTATTTTCTCTCATAAAGACCAAGTTGATGATTTGTTGAAAAACGCTAATCCCTCCAACTTGAAATTAACTGGCAAGCAGCCAAATCATTTTATGAAGGCAAAAGAGTATAAGTAAGCAGAGATGGATAGTGGCTAGCAGTGGAATCCAGGACGCGCGTTTCGTCCTATTTGGAACTTGTCAGCTGGATGTACCTGCATCTCAGAGTTGACGTTCACTCTGGGACTCGAACCCAGTACCCTCGCTTCAAACGCCATCGCGTTATCCACTCGGTCACTGAGTCCTGATAGCTACTTGCTTGTGCGATGAGGTGAAGTTTAAATTCATTCAGTATTGTTTGTTTGAATCTTCCCATCGATTTGTTAGGACTGCAACTGGTCGGTCTCTAATTGGCATATGTGTTCCACTGCTAACCACTATCCATCTCTGCTTACCATGCTTGTGAATTAAGGCTATATTGAGGCAATACGCACAGTATGCACATATGCCAATTAGAGACCGACCAGTTGCAGTGACCGAGTGGATAACGCGATGGCGTTTGAAGCGAGGGTACTGGGTTCGAGTCCCAGAGTGAACGTCAACTCTGAGATGCAGGTACATCCAGCTGACAAGTTCCAAATAGGACGAAACGCGCGTCCTGGATTCCACTGCTAGCCACTATCCATCTCTGCTTACTTATACTCTTTTGCCTTCATAAAATGATTTGGCTGCTTGCCAGTTAATTTCAAGTTGGAGGGATTAGCGTTTTTCAACAAATCATCAACTTGGTCTTTATGAGAGAAAATACAGGCCAATCAATGTGAGATATTAACTGAATTTGTTTCAAGCCACAGATTCTATACATTATCGTCATATATTAGACTTTCACTCAGCCTTTCTAATGTAAGTACCAGACTATCCTATCAGTTTTCTTTTTTCCCAATCAGTTAAACAGGCAAATTAAAAAAACACATCGACTATTTTTATTTATTCCATAGCTATTTACTACAGAAAAATTGTAAAAAGTATTTTTGTGCAGGAGCTTTACCACCACTAACATCTGCATCCAAATAAAAAACTCTAGTCAGATCGAAAGCCTTATATCAAAAAATCTAGTAAGGTATTTAACTGTACAATAAAATCATTACACCAAGTACGTTTACTCAGAGAATTATTAAACAGAAAGTAATCGGTCCACTTGTCGTTAGTGTTAAATGAACCATTAAAAATTTGCTTAAAGTGAAATAACTTGATTGCATCACACTCGTCAGCCAACATACTCTTGAAGGAATTTATTAAATTCAGGATATTTTGAATTAAGACAATTTTAGGAAGGCGACTGTTTAGGACGTAGTGGTTTGTAACGGTCTCGGCAAATGAATTTAGAGCAGAAAATAGATGATCCGTTGAATGATCAAATTTATCTCTGGCATCGAATGATTTTTCTTGATATTTGCCAACAGCTAATTTCATGGAAATACTTAAGCGTGTTTCAATGAGTTCGTTTAGAATTGGTAATGAAAAACACGGTTGGACATCAACTAGCAGATTATTTTCCTTACGACTTTCACACAGGTGTTTGCAAGACTTTGTGAATGAAATAAATGCGGAATCCCATTCTCGAACAGCCTTGGATATAATTTGCATATGATCAGTATATCCGCAGGAGTTATCTGAAGTGCCTAAAATCAATGTACAAAAAATAAAAAGCTCGAGATACTATAATGGTATAAAAGCAAACGACTAACTAACTTAAATCATATAATGTCAGAACTAAAAACAAATATTATTTTCTAATTTGATTCTAAATTTTTGGATAAGTGGTTTCAACAGTTGAAAATTACGACGTGTAAATATTATTTAACCAAATGGAAGGTATGTATTTTTTGAGGTACTCAATATGAGAGAATAATACGAAAAATTACTAAGATATTTACACATCATAAGAAAGCGTAGGTCATTTAAAAATCGGCATTCTAGACTGAAAAGGAGGATGTGACCAAAAAAGAACACATGGACAGGAAAATTGAATACCATATATCAAGACTTTAAGCAAATCGAAATATTCAGTTACCATTGTTTGTGAGTGATTGTATATATGGCTTATTGTTCTAGGTACACAACTTAATTTTAAAGGTTTATTCATCAGTTATTTTTCACAGCTAAATAGTAGCACTGGCACTGGCAGAAATTCGTACAAAAAAACCAGGCTCTTCGGTGAACTATGAACTTCGAAAAGAATATTTAATTTCTTCGAGTTACTTCACAGATATTTTATGTTAAGCAAGTAGGTTTTTTTGCCAAAATATGATTATTTGAAATATATTTTTGAAGAATTGTTACTTATCCCTAACCTAAAACTTGAAAACACCTCAAAAGAGTTTAAAAACCTCTAAAAAACGTTTTCATATGCACAGATTTGTTCAGCGATTGAATTATACACCATTAGAACTCTCCAATATGCTACATTGCGTTGATACTGTTTAATGATACATTTTAGTCTAAATTGGATTTCAATACTTTTACAAGATTCAAGGATTCATTGTTGAACCCGGTAAATACGAGACGGGATCAAGTATCAAAATTAACGGTAAATCAAACGAACCGTACAAACATGATGTTACTCTTTTTCAGGATTCACCAACTCCAAATACCTTCGTATAATTTCCTCACTGTATGTTACTTGATATATTGTAATCAATATCCTGTTGACTGTTGGACTACATTGTTGACAAAAAATTTTAATACGATTCTATTAGGAAACTGGTAGGAATTTGGGGAAATCTGACAGATAGAATAGATACAAACCTTGAGTCATGTGACCTGAAACCTTCAGTGTTTGCTAGGTTTGTGTCTAGCCTGAAGGTACCTTGTAAGCTGCGCTGGTGGAGAGCAGTGAGAGAATCTGAAAAAGAAAATAACAACAGAAGTGAGCCGACGGTTGGTAGGCACATAGCGTACACTTACACTTAACACTGAAAGCAATCGATAACCATTAGAAGTAACAAGCTGATAGTAGAAATTATAGGTTGATAGTTGGAGGCTTCGAATGAGTTACAGATCTGTAACGGTTTGCGTCAAGCCAGAAGTTATTTTGTCTGCTAGGGGAGGATGATAAACAGAACACTAAGTGCACTTACATTCAGTAAGAAAAGCAACAGACAGCATTCAGCAACTACACAAGCTTTAAATTACGACAAACTGAAAATCGAACTAGAACTAGATAATTTAATCCACAATTTTAACATCAAACTGCAACCGAACCTTTGAAGACATTCAATGAACAAACTATCGTTTAGTGTTTATTGAGTTTCATTTTACCAACTTGACATTAAGTAATACCTTGTAGTAAGTAGACAAATGAGTATCTAGCGTTTATAGGGATCTTTTTAGTGTTTATGAAAAAGAAGGCGTTTACTATTTACTAGGTTCTTTCAGGCTTGGTTATTAAACATGATTTGTTGCTTGAGACTCTTGTCACTAGTTAGGGAAGGCCAAACCAAAACGTGGCATCAGTCCTTGAAGTCATTAACTTCTAGTCTGAGCCATATTAATAGATATAGACTGCTTGGTTGGGGTCCGCGCGACTATCATAACCAACGGTTGGAGACTCTGAGTGATATGGCTTAGAGCCGATCACAATGGCGTAGGCGTACACATTTATTGTCTTCCCATAAACCCAACAACACTTGATGGAAAAACTCTGGAAGAATTGGAAACTTTCACGTACCTAGACAGTATCATTGATGAACAAAAAGGGTTAGATGCAGATGTAATGGCAAGAATTAGAAAATTAAGGGCCACATTCCTATAGTTGAAGAAGAGATGGGACTCAAAACAACTGTTAACCAATATCAAAGTTCCAATCTTCGATACAAACTTCAAGGCAAGTGCTCACTTGGAATCCTGAAAGGAAACGGGAAAGCAGAAGGCCGAAGAACACATTGCGTCGAGAATCGGAAGCAGACATCACAAGAATGAATAGAAACTGGAAGCAACTTGAAAGGACAGAGTTCGATGGAGAATGCCAATTAGTGGTATATGCTTCTACATGAGGGGCAACAGGCATAAGTACCATAACTGTTATTATTATTTATTTAAACATATAAATATCGATACAAGTAAGCACCAGATATATATGCGCCGCACAAATCTCATTTGATTTGTGTGAGGGCTGTGATACTGCTCAGGTGCCCAAACTGAAGCAGATGGTTTCCTTAGGGGGCCACACCCCGAGCCTTTGACCTAAAAATCTCATCCACAAGGCAGTGGAGTATCTTAAGGAGATGCAGTCCCATGGTAGCCGGTGACCAACGGTTGGTTCATACGCCATTTGTTCCTTCAGGATACTGGGGCCCATGTGCACCATTGGTTTGAAATGAGGGTTTTCCAACTGCCCTAGGTGAACTTTCCGTGTGCACCAACCCGGTTAAAGCGCCGAACATTCGCTTTTCGTTGTGTCAACTTCGGAATCAACACCCTCGCCACGAGAAGGTAGTGGGTAGGACTCCCCTAGCAGAGGCTATATATTCGCGTGGCCATGTGAGAGCATTTGGAGAGGGAGAGCGGACTCTCCCCCACTCTCGGCCGCACCAGGGCAATTGGGGGCACCATAATTGTGATATATATTAGGACCCGTAAACACACCCTTCTGACAATAGCAAGAAATTCTTATGCATTTCGTATAACTTCTTTCTGTGTTCTATAAACTCATTTTTGCATGCGTTTATGAGCATTAACTGAGTCAAGATATCATCATATTTGTATTGGTCCGCCACATATCGAATTACAATACGGCTCAGTAACAGGAATGTTGCTATGTATGTGGTAGGTCATTGGGTAATGAACTTTCGACTAGGGCGTCTTTGGATAACTTATCTAAACTCTCCTGACAGGTTCAAGGGGTTCTCGTCTCATTCCAAAATAACGTCGTAAATGGACAGACTGTATCTGCCGATTAGTTATGGAGATCACAGCTGCCAACATCGAGGTTTGTTTTGCCCAAGAAAAGCGTCAAACGACAACAAATGACACTACGGATCTCTGTAGTAGTCTCACACTCGTCTTCTCTACAATTACCATGAATGCAGATGCCCCAAAATTCTTTAAAGAAACCCGTAACGAAAAAGGTCCGTTTCGAGACCACGAGAAACAAATAATCCTGACTGGGGTGTGCACCAAAACACATGATAAGTCATCTAAAATTTTTGGGAATTTCTGCAGTTTTGTCAACCCCTAACCTTCCAGCGGTCTTTAACTTATTTGAAATTTTCTTATCTGTAGACTCATCTAAATCTTCAGTGACCTATCGTTTGTGTATTCACACCATGCTGATGATAGATGTGATTGACACTCTTGACAGTATTGGATGTTGTTTTTAGTTGGTTATTTTCTGTAACTAAACCATATGATCCCCAGCTTTCCACGTCTTCTTACACGACGCTGATGTTGTCTCTGAGTGATCTTTACATCTTATATGGATTCCATGAGATATTTCTAATCCAATTGATAAACTGTTTTTCATCGCTAAAACAGCTACATTTAGACATGAGGGGGTATATCTACTCATCTAATTTTTTCTATAGCGAGTGAATTGGCAGCTGACTTTCAGCATAACACTCTCGAAGGCTAATGTTCCTAAGTGGAGTGTGTGCGGTCAGGGCCATTGTAGGGGACCACATTGTACACTACTCTTTTTGTCACTTCTCCAGACACAAATCCCACAATGCACTGGGTTACAGTGATTTATTCGAGGTTTTTCACAATTTAGGGCCTATATATGCGTGAGGAGTGCTAACTGATTAAGGTTATTGTTAGTTTCAGCAAACGAGTTTTGTATCTGCCTTGTATCGCCACTATAGCAACCAGTATTTCGATGTCAGATAGAAAATTAGGCGCCATAGTTTTTGAAAGTTTTGTTTTTTACCTAAGCAAATCATGCTGATGGGTACACTGTGTTGACTTTTCAATGTATGTGGGTATCAAACGTTTTAAAGCAACGTCATATTGTTAGCATACCGCATGAAGAGATGGAGGGACTGATGCTCGGAAAACCGGATAGTGATATTGACGCCTGTGGGTAACAGGCACAAAGTTCAGAAGATGAATGTTCGACCCTGACAATTACTGATTCGTCATATATAGGTATTACAAATTTTAACCTTTTGGTTGGTTTAGAAGTCGAAGATATTTCTCTTTTACTAAGGTTGGTAGCCATAATTCAAAGTTAAGTGAGTGGAGAGCACGTTTAACTGAATTGAAAATCGCGTACATTATTATTGTTAAGTATTAACTGGGTTTGTGCAAAAATCAGTGACTGTGGATAATGGAGGGACTTTAAAGACCAGATGTTTGGATATTAAGTGCGATGTTTGCTGTCAATTAAGCATTTGTATTTTAATTAGTGTGATCAGGCGATGAAAAACAGTTAATTTGTGAGGTCGTTTATAGAATATTTAGAAAGATCAGTCCATGATAGATATATACTAACCTCATGATGAAACTTTCAGGAGGAAGCTTAACCTCGTATATGATAGTGTCAGAATCTTAGTACAACACACCCTAGAAAAATTGACTAGTCTTAAATACAATTATATCACGTGAGAAAGTGCTACCACTTACAGTGTTCGCGCCAGGTCACTGAACATTTGTGGGTCAAGCCGTCGCAACACGATTGGTGCATCACCGATTTGCTTCTTTTCATCTATTATCGTTAATATACCTAGGTTCTTGCCTGGAGGTATTGATGATCCACTGCTACTAGACACGGAAGCCTGTTAAGCGAAAGCTTCATCTTTTCCGTCCACAACCATCTGGATTTTCAATGTAAGTCTTCCCAGTTATAGAATATTCTGTTTCAAATATCTTGTCCTTAGGAACCAATATTACTACAGATTCACCCAAGAAGTTGATATTTCTCTAACACGAACTCTCAATAGATAGTTTGTAACTCGGTTTGTAGTGAATGAGGACTCAGATGGGTACAACTAACTTATTATTCAGTGCGACATTAGAGTTCTTTCGTAAAATGTGGAAAATCAAGCATTAAATACTTCGTTTGCAAATCTTAAATCAATCGTATCGGATTTCATCGTTTTTTTACTTCTATTACGATTACTTTATGTTTGCATTCCAGATTTCTTTAATTCGACCTTCTCAACCTTCTACTGCCAGGCATTTCACTTCTAATTGGTGTTGCATACTACTGTAGGGCCGGTAAATATCACTAGGCCATAGCCAAATCATTCGGCAGATCGAACAGTTCACGATCCTCGTCAAGTTTGAGAACAACCAACGAGCATCACTTAATCGCACACCATGGACTTGCCATGCTTTTGTGTTCACAACATCTTCCTTGTACCTACTCATACTGATATATTTCTGTAGTGACGTCCTTTGCGTTATATAATTCTCAAAGCAGACGACGAAAGCGAAATCCACATTAGGTGCTGATGTCGAAGTTAGCTGGTTCGTCACACTATTCCCGTTTAAGTGGAGTAAGCCCTCAGTTATTCAACAAAACCCATCTACGCCAGTGGTCTACATTACTCATGTCTGTCGACATAAGTAGCATACATCACAAGTCTTCTTGCAATATGTTCTTGTCTTCTTGTGCATTTTTGGCAGGTCCACGATCAACTATGAAACGTAGAATATCACATGGTCTCAGAACTTGTACTAACAGAGTCCGCAATTCATATGGGCGTCTATTCACAGGTAAATTTTATGTACATGTGATGTTTAAATAAATCAATGACTTCTTAGTATTGATGACTGTTGTAATTTTGAATTCCAAATACAATACATTCGTTCGGGCTCATCTGATACTTCTTGATTAAATTGCGTTATTCCTGGAATTACTAGTTCATACTACAATTCAAATACTCCTAATTATCATATTGGCGTCGCGACTGAGCCTGTGATGGAACGGTTAAATATAAATTCAGATTTTAATGCTTTTGAGGAGTACATGGAAAGGTTCGAAATCTGGGCTATGACCAAAGAAGATGATGATGATTTTAATATTGTGGCCCATTTCCTCACATTCATCGGGAAAGAAGCATACAGCCTTATAAAGATTTTGGCACTTCCAGACAAACCGATTTCACTCCCGTATGCAACTCTCAAGCAACTTCTGTTGGATCATGTAAAGTATACAAATTCCGAATGCGGTAAGAAAGGAAAATCCGATAAAATGACTCGTCAGAACATCAGGAATTCCACTTATTCAAACAGTCGTCGTAGTTCGATGCGTAATCAAGTTTATTCAGATAATACTTCATTGAGTTGTGAAACAGTCCATGATGATGAGAACAAGTTTAGTAAATGCATGTTCTGCGGCAAGTTTCACCCATGTAATTCATGTATATTTCGTAATTCTAAATGCTTTAAATGTGGTATAACTGGACATATTCAGTCAGTTTGTAATACCATGGTTCATTTCGCTGAAAGTAATGCTAAGATGGATGCTTCTAATGATCAGTTATCTTTATCTAGAAGAGGTATAACGTTATATAACAGTCCAGAGTTGAATGAAACCCAGAGTCATTGGGAGGCGAAAATTCTCAACCAATCAACTTATCAGATTTCTCATGTTATTGTACCAGATATGGTTTGTCGTAATAATTCACATACTTCTGATGTAATTTCTTACAACTCTGAGAATAGAATGTTAAATAAGTCAAATCATGATCAAAAACCAAATTCAGTCATGGTAGATGTTGAATTCCCTGATGATCCATTACCTAATGAAACTCTTAATCAATTTGAGGAAAATATTTCAGAAGAATCGAATTCTGATATCATATCAAGTGTCAGTGGTCCTCATAATGAATTTATCTCTAATGATATTCCTCATGAATGTGAAAAATATGTTTCTTATGAGTTGAATTCTAGTCATATTTCTGATGTTATTGTGTCATATGTTGGATACTCTCACGAACAATGCATGTTGAATAGAATCCCTAGTCAGGGGTATAATGATACAGAGGGGATAGCAAAATTTTCCGAAGCAACCAGAGAACCAGTTTGCCCAGAAGTGAAGTTTGCACAGACAGAGAATCCAAATCAAGTCCAAGATTATCCTAATGAATATGAGGCAGATGAATATTTTCTATCCGATTGTTTCGCAGGTAAATCAAGCCTAATTGAATCACGTGTGTTAATTACATATATCAATGTATATCCATCTGTGTATTCTAATATGAATAACAAAAAGAATATGTATCATGATTTTTATTCAAGTCAAAGTCACATGATGGAATACCTCGAATTATATATCAGTGTTTATTCCCAAATACTCGTATACAGTAGTCGATGCGTGAGATTTGAGAAGATACTGCAAATTGGAAATGTCATATTGGCTAAAACATTGCGACATAAGGACCCAACATTATTTCGTGGGGGAGGATATTGTTGAAAAGTATATGATGCAAATTTTAAATATCAGTGGTTTCACTACACAACCGACATGCTGATTGTATGCAATTCTAGAACCCAGGTGAGTCTGTTCCAATTTCCGTTGTTAATTCTAATACTAATGAGTGCATTCTAGATAATACAGAGTGTACATTCAATACACCATCGGACAGATACACCTACAATTCAATTCGAGCTGTGGCGGATGTGATGTTTAAATAAATCAATGACTTCTTAGTATTGATGACTGTTGTAATTTTGAATTCCAAATACAATACATTCGTTCGGGCTCATCTGATACTTCTTGATTAAATTGCGTTATTCCTGGAATTACTAGTTCATACTACAATTCAAATACTCCTAATTATCATAGTACAGCCTTGTCTCCATCTACCGGCTAATAAATGATGTTTCTTGCTCTTCTGAGTTCATCCATTCTTGCCCTATCATCTAACAGCCTGTTCAGTAAAAAAATATTTTTGTCAATTCTGAGAACCCGTACAAGCTTGCGTCAGAGTGTCTTTGTTCTCAGCTATTCAACCACGTAGGACAGACTCTCAGCGAGCCTTCGTAGAAGTAAAACTATAAACCTGTTCAGAAGTCTCCTTGATGACCTTCTAGAATGGTTTGTATCAGCTATTAAATATGGATGCGGTCGCCAATGAGTTACAAAAACATGGTCCGGTATCTATCCTACTGGCCGTGAAACGAAGCATAAAGTTATAAATTTGATTGGTTTGCCCAATATTTCCATGCGAATATCCCAAGTTCATTTATGTTCGTATTCATTATAATTATAAACATAAATGACCTCCGACATATGAGACATTCTTTTTTTTATCTCTCCTCCTACATAAATTTCACTCCTAACCATCCAAAGTTTATGATTTAAAACATAATATCTAGTATCACTTTTCAGATCTATTCTATCTTTAGCACGTATATAGATCCCAAACACATTGTTGTAAAACGATTATTCTTTGCAATTATTTGAGACTTTCATTGCATCACTATTCTTCATTAGCTCCTAACCGACCATCAAATGTTACTATATAAGCTCTTTATTTTTAGTTCTTTTGGTAATACACAGGTTTCAGTCTATCCCTATGATGTTTCACAGAACATAATCATTAAATAATTTACATATTTCGCTTTTCCTTGCTTCTCTTTTCCTTTGAAATAGATTCACTGTTCTTCTAAATTCTACAGAACCTATTTGAATATGGCGAATGTTATTGAAACTGCGTGTAGTTGCATTTCCGAACAAACCCAAAATGGTATATTCATAGCATCTATGTACCAATAAGCATTTTATGGATAATAATGATAAATAAACTTGAAATCTTCTCGTTTCCCATTTAGGTTATCTGTCAATGGTTTCATTGGTTGTCACATCCAGGTATGGATCAAACATGAAAGTTAACTAAACCTTGAATGATTTTAAGTTGTGTTAGAGAACTTGGTATGGGGTATTGCTTGTTGGCACCCTAACACTCTCTGATAAGTGTAATCCATTCTGAGTTTGTCGTTTGTCTGAGAACTCCCAAAATTCGAAGTCCGAACACGGCTCTCATGTGTTTTCCATATAACTTTAAGTTCGGACTGGCAACAAATAAATCGTATAGTGACCCTTGTGCAAAGGGCATGTCCTGAGACAGGCTGTCCAAAAACTGTGAAATAGTTCTGCCTCGGGCTGAATGCCTTGCGTACAAACTGAAACAGCCCGTAAGGTGTAGCAATAGCTGTTTGAACGATATCTCCTTCTGCTGCCGGAATATTGTGAAATGGCTCGACCAAGCTAATTTTAGCAAATATATTCAAACCCTGTAAAACGTTTGTAAAATCATGAATATTATGCACGGGGTATTTATCTGGTGCATTTTGACGGTCGAGGGCTTTTTAACCCATACACGGTCGCCAGTCATCTTCATTTTTCTTTGAGACTGTGTGTAGGGGTGATACCAATTAGCTCCTCGACCTGGAATTCGGTTGCTGTGGTGACCTGCTCTGATCGTCTGACGAAGATAGACGGTTCATTATCTAATATCTTAAAATGGTATGTGGTTGTGAGTCATGCTTAGGAAATCTACTACAA